AAGCCTATATAAATCCAATCCATTATTATTATTATTTCAGCATGCACTATCTGACATAGACAAATCGGGCCCTTTTAAGTTGAAACTGTGAGTGTGATGACGCACATGATTAATAGAGGGTCAACTTCCTACGGTCAACCACAAAGATGCCTGGCATGCTCCACTTTTTGGTTTTAGAGCTAAAGAAAAAACATTTGGAGTTCATTTAAAAAATGTTTACTGTTTTATAGTTTCTGACTCTTATGCATGAAGGTAGATTCCTATGATCATTAGGAAGACACTGTGTTGTCAAGGAGTCTAACAACTCAATTTCTTGCCTTCTGGATAATTTTGAGCAATTTTTCCAATTTGTGCAATTTCTGCTTTTTGTTTGGGGCAATAAATATACATGCATCATGAAATTTATGCATCTTTTTATTATTATTATTATTTTAAATTAACATTTAAAACTCTGTTGTAAAAGAAGTGTGCGCTTACTGAAATTTAATGTGCATTTATTATAAATTTGTGATGATGCACAGCAGTGTCTGTTATCTTGATGTTTTAGCAAAATACCCTAGTATCAGGCCTTTGACATATAATCAGTTTATATGTTTTAAGAGCAAAGACTGTGTTAAAAAATAAATAAATAATAAAATGACTGACTGGAAAAAAGGGAAGGCTATAAAAACACAGGTTAAAAGCTTTGGGATAATCTATGACACATAAAATAATGCCATGGTGAACTGCAGTTTCTTTCAGCTCAGCACAATCTTCAGAATAAAATCTTTATTTTTAGAACCCATCTGAAAAGAATCATGGATACTTCTGTTGCATCTACTCCTGTAATGCACTGTATACTGGAGCTATTCAGTCATCTCTTGCTCGTCTACAATTAGTCCAAAATCCTGCAGCCAGATTACTGACTGGGACACAAAAGAGAGTTCAGATTACTCCAGCCTACAGTGGCTCTATGTGCATTAGAGAGTGTGGTATAAATTGGCGCTGTTTGTAATCAAAACTGTAAAGTGTCTTGTGTGTGCCTTTGCCGAGACTGTGGAATGATCTCGCAAGTAACCTCAGACAAGCATCAATGTGACTATCTTGAAATCTGAGCTGAAAACAGACCTGTATGTCAAGCTTCTGGAAGCAGCTGATCTCTGGAAACGTGGATGGAGGAAAAGTTGTTGTTGTGTTACTTTATGTAAATACCATGTTTCTTCTATTGTAAAGATTTTTGGTTTTAAATGTGTTATATAAATAAAATCGATGAACTTACTAGTAAACATGAAGCTGCTTCATAAAGTATTCAGAAAGGTTACTGAAGAGAATTAGAATTAATTAGAGAATTATTTAAATAATAATAATAAATTGCACAATACATTTTTAAGCAGTAAAATGCTGGATGTAGCAAATATGATCCAGAGAAGATTCAATAAGCACTCCATTTAAAAAATAATAATCATTTTCTGGGAATTATTTCCTGGTTCAGGCATTGCAGGGTTAAGTGTTTTAGGTGAAGGCAACTGGACTGGATATTTAACCCAAGTGGGGATTTTACCTTGAAGGTGGTTCTGCAGGTGGTTGATCCAACCTGTCATCATTGAGTCATTAAGGTCGCAGGGGTCAAGGTGTGAGTGGGAGCTGAATTGCCTAAGAAGAGGCGCCAGACAGCCGACATCTCATAGACGGCTGATAGTTAGTATGACAGACCACAACCCATGTTCAGTGCTGGCCACTCACAGTGGACATAGACGGCCATCTTTACTCATCTCTCTCAAACCAACTGTCTTCTCTGTCTAAAATGTGAACATTTAGTAACCTCTAAGGATATTTTCTATCCTTTAAGTGCTACTGAGTCCTATCCTGAGGTCCTGGCTCTGCTATGTCGTGCATGTGTCTGTGGTTATTCTGTTGTTTCCCGGGCAAGTCTGAGCACTCGTCACTGCATTGCACTTCTTACACAACATTGTTCAGCTTGTGTTTAGGTCCATGCAATTTGTCCTGGGTTGAACCAGTTTTTGTCTGAAGGTTTGCTGAGTACACCAAGATCTTATGGGTGGAGAAGATAAATACTTCATTTCACATTGTAATTCATGGTTAATTCACACAGTTACTGGTTATTAATTAAGTATTTTTGCGTGACCTCATCTAAAGTGAGGACTATTTTTGCCTTATAAAGCATTTATAAATGAAAATGAAAGTACCTTAAGACTCGAACAAGTCTTGGCTGTACTCACAACAGAAAATGATTTAGAAAACCCACAGAGAGATATAGAACGTAGAAATAATTAGTGCCAGACTCAAACATAACCCACCTGAGGTTTACAGAATACTGAAGTGTAGGTCGGACCAGAGTCTAACTAGTAACAGGAATTTAGGGGCAAAAGTTACACCAACCAGTTAGAGCCACGGGGTAATTTAACTTAAATATACTTAAGCTGCTTTATTTAAAATAAAAGATAAATATAGTTTTCACAAAAAATAGTGGATATTTCACAGAGCTTCACAAACAAGTGTAAACGCCATAGACAAAGCGTCCCTCACATTAAACTGATAATACAGGAAAATATCTCTGATGTTGGAATTTCTTTAATTTGTTCCTGAAGTTCAACTTTCCTCTGCTTTGTATTCTGTTAGCTAGCTTTAGTCAGCTAAGTCCAGTCACTTTCATTTCCAAAGCGCTTTCACATTAGGTGAACTCAGCTGAAATGAAAGAAGCAGTGGATGATCGCCTCCTCCTTCCCATTCAGTGAAAACTCAGAGCAGCTCCTTGGGGTAAAGAGGTGATCAGGTTAAGAAGTGGTTCTCCTTCATCGTGGAGAATCCCAAATCAATGGGCATTTTCCATGGAATCTTAAAATCCCTAGCCTGTAAAACAAGGATGCTACCGAATTAAATCAATAAATAGCAATATTTAATGGCCATAATGTAAATAAAATCAGGATTCCCAAAATACTGCTACATTATTTTTGGCACCGCAGTTGTTGTATTCTACTATTCCATCTTTTAATATTCATCATGACTTTATTTTCTTCGGGATTAATAAAGTATTCTGATTCTGATTTTATTTTTTGTTTCTTTTTTATAGGGTTATTGTTTTAAATGGACATGCATAAAAATATAAACATTTTTATCTGTATTTATAAATTTCATACTAGGGAGGAGTAATGCCTTATAAATGATAAATTGGAGCCTTACTAATGCCTTAATAGTTAATGGTGTGACATTTTTATAAAGTGTCACTCCTTCATTTTTCCTTGAATGCTACTCACTCTGGGTTTCATCCGTAGAATGGCAGTGATTTTTGTACTGCAGGCAAAGTATTTGGAGTTTTGCTTAAAGAGTTGATTTTTAACCAGACATTCCTTCTTGTTTGCTAAACCCCAAGCAAGCTTTCATGTGACCTTTACTAAAAAACATTATTCTGTCTAAGGCCTGTTTCACACCACTATGAGATTCTTGAATCACCTGCCTGACCATGGGTCTGATTACTTGCAGTCTGGGCAAATGATCAAATCTCCAGAGTTACTGTGGTTTTAAACACTGTTCATTTTACAATTAAAAAAGGACCATTGTTCTCCTAGACTATTTTATAGACAATTTAAAGTGTACAAGTTGATTTTAACATCTAATAAAATCACTGTGCTTTCAAAACTATTTCATTAAAGGTTTAAGTACATTTGTCAGTGCAGACAGATATCAGTGGTGCACTGTGGATGCATGCTGGTTCACTAGTGTTTGCATATAAATCCAGTAAATGCAAGACATTTTTTCTCCACGTGGTTATATAGCGGCAGCAACGAACGCAGCAAAGGTTAGTAAAACACCTGTCCTGCTGCATCGCACACAACAGAGGACAGACAAAGAGAACTGCACAAAATGATTGCCAATCACACGTTTGGATAGCAACTTTAAACAGCCACAAGGGGGCAATGTTACTTTACTTTAATTAACATTACTACAGCGTCAGTAGACTTATCAGATAGAAACATTGGGAACTGAACATGTTAGGCATGGAGTGTATTTCCATTTATGTGTGTTAACAAAGAACATTTTCATATATAACGTTATACTATTGTCGTTATTGGAAACAGTTTAGAATAAGGAATCACGTTGCGGCGTTACCTTAATTGTTATTAGCTAATTTACTGTTAACTTACGGCGTAAAAGAAAGCAGCGTCAGATTAGGTTTTATTTTTATTTCAGAAGTGAAATTTGATTGTAAACGGCGTTTTAATACTGTCTATAGTTTATCCTCATGACCCAGACAGTCAGTGCTGTACTAGGCGGCAGTAGCTGAATGAAGCAGACGGGAGGAAGTGGCTGTTAATGCAGCTCCACACCTTTCCGGTGTAGCAGCACTGCGACCAGCTCCACTCAAAGGAGAAAGGCGAGAGCTGGGTGTATTTCTGGAGAAAGGAGTGATAGATAAGAGGTAGGTAACTTATATTGGAATTAACAGTTTAACCGATAAAGATATGTCCCAGACATTTTGTCATTGACGTGTGTATTATTCGTCCAGATAAGATTAGTTTTCTTAAGCTAACTACCGTTAGCTAGTTAGCCCGCGGCTAGCTAGCTAGGCAACAAGCTAGCTAATGTTAGCCTACTACCTGTGTGAAACAGCCACGAGCGATAGCTAGCTAATTTTTCATGTCTGACCCTCCCACCGAATCTCATTTCAGGGGGGACAGGAGTTACGCGAGTGGGTACATGTGCTGCTGAGTCACAGAGGTTATTCTCGAAGTCGTCCCTTCCCGCACGGCAAAGTTTCCCCGCACAGCGCTTGATGGAGTAGCCGCAGAAAGCAGCTTTTCTCCTTTGGTAGAGAACAAGGGCGCACCCGGTGAAGAGGACCGCCAGACACAGACACCACAAGGAATTCACAAGTACCGCGGCTTTTTGAGGGGAGGCCTATACTCACAGCGTCTACTACCCTTCACTTTTTAAATCGACTCTGCCCAAATTTCACACACCGCTTTGTGTTGTTTTACACAATACAATGAACGCACAGCAGCCGCTGGTGTCAAAGTCTTAACCTCACCGTGCCATGTTGTGTATAGGCCCCGAAACCCGTGTGATTTACTGAAGGTAAATGACCCCGCTCTCAACAGGATCCTGACAGACTTTGACGAGAAGTCCTGATAAGGTTTGACATGCTTAAGGACTTTTGACTTTCTAACCTTCAGTCACTCTTCAGAGACATGTTTCCACCAGTAAATATATTATAAAAACTGAAGTTGTAATCTAAGTGAGTAATTACCAAAACGGTATCTGAAACTTTTCTCAGTAGGCTCAGAATATATATGCACAAGAGTTCAAAATGGGGAAAATGCTCTCAAAAATATTTGGCAACAAGGAGATGAGAATATTGATGCTTGGACTTGATGCTGCTGGAAAGACAACAATCCTTTACAAACTGAAACTCGGACAGTCTGTGACCACAATCCCTACAGTCGGCTTCAATGTGGAAACTGTGACCTACAAAAACGTCAAGTTCAACGTATGGGATGTTGGAGGCCAGGATAAGATTCGCCCCCTGTGGCGACACTACTACACGGGCACCCAAGGGTTAATTTTTGTGGTGGATTGCGCGGACAGGGATCGCATCGACGAAGCAAGGCAGGAACTTCACCGCATCATTAATGACCGGGAGATGAGGGATGCCATCATCTTGATATTCGCCAATAAGCAAGACCTTCCGGATGCCATGAAGCCACACGAAATACAAGAGAAGCTCGGATTGACCCGCATCAGAGATAGGAATTGGTATGTTCAGCCCTCCTGTGCGACCACAGGTGATGGACTATATGAGGGCTTGACATGGCTAACCTCAAATTACAAATCTTAATGATTGAGTTGCTGACTGTTTTAGGTCAAAACTATAATAAAGTTGCAAGTAACAAATAACTTCTCAAAATGAGTATGGTTAAGAAAAGTTGATTATTTCCCATTTATTTTTTAATACTATGTTTACCCCATGACTAATTTATCTCTAACTGGGTTTGCCGGCTTAAAGTTCGCTTGTACTCTGTAGCAGGCCTATATCACATTCATTATTTCTGGGGCTTGCTTGATGAATATTGAGTTAATCGGTCCTAAGGTTGAAGCCACAGAAATCACCGCCTTTGCCTATTCTTTCTCCTGTTTTGTATAATTTTTCTAATGAAGCTGAAGTTTTTATCTTAATTCTTGGACTAAAGCTTGTTTCAAGGTTTCTCGGTCTCTGTTGCATTGAACTTGGATTTTTTTTTCTTCTTCTTCTAAGGTGAGCTCTTTAATGTTATGTAGCCTACATGGAGGACTTTGACATTTGTTTTAAGACAGTACTGTGATGAAAAGTATTCATTCTCAATGGTATTGAGAAAAAAAAATTTCACCAATGCTTACATTTCATTCTCACCAGTTGGGGCATCAGAGGAGGGAAAAGAATGACTTTGGACATGTTTTTTTACCCCTCTCAGTACCCTTATGTGGGCTATATATTTAACTGATTGACCTTTTTGTGTCATGTCTTGATACCTAATTGTGCTGAATATTCAACAAATAGGCCTCCAGTAACTTTTAAACATGCTTGTCGGGATGCATTTTTGATTTTTGGGTAATGCGTAGTCTGTCGACTCAATCTTTCCAAAGGAATGTCATTCAGTTCTGAGCTCTCAATCTGATACCACAGTTGATTAGCCTCAGCAATGGGACATTATATGATAGCCTATATCTGTAGCATGAGTACGAAAGTACATTAACCCTACATCAGAATCCATCTGTCACGCAGTCAGAGGGAGCTGCTTACTGGTGAAATGTTAAATGACACCTTGTGGTGCAGCTCTTACTCCTATTTTGACTGGGGGTACCATGTACAGAACAATGTCATTGTAATGTCTTATTAAAAAAGTGATTTTAAATCTTCTATGTCTCTGTTTTTTTAAGAGTAAATGTAGTTGGTGGTTGACGCAACATTTTCAGGTTTTGGTAAACTTTTAAAAGCAGAAACATGTAATAGGAAGTTTGTTTCAATGTGTGAGAAGCTCAAGCTTACAATTCAAGTGTTAAAAATTCTCCCTCTGCTCAGTGGTATTCTCCATAAATGTTTATATGTTCACCCCTTAGACTAAGTTGCTGGCCTCAGTTCCCTTGCCAGTAAATGGGGGGGGAGAATGTACAAAACAGGAAGTCCCGACTGCTGTTCTTTTTGGAACAACAACAGAGCCACATGGTAGTTTGCATGGCATTTGGAAGGGCAGCGGAGATGTACAGCTGAATTGCGAATTCTTTTTGAATGTTGAATGTTGCTTGTGAGCCATAGTTAAGTTGATGCTGAGCTGTCAGTTGTAACTTCCTGAGTCTGCCTTTGCTTGGGACCAGCAGTTTAAAAAAAGTCTTGGTTGCTTTTATTCAAGCTGCTTAATAGAAGCCATGCTGTTCAGAAATGAAAACTCTGTGTCTGAGTAATGCTCTGTGATTAAGTGAAAATATAGTTTGCCTGTTGGATATAGCGGAGAAACTGCTGATGGGAACAGATGTCCTACTTTTTAAGGAGCCTCTCATGACCGCGTTAAGATCATTTCTCCATCCTTTGAAAATGCCAAAAGCTGTATAACAAGGGAAGTACCATGAATAATCAGTGTGTACTCTTACAAGATAAACACAAACATAAGTACCAACTAGCAGACTAGGAATAGTTTTGCAGTCTGTTCAGTTCATACTTCTAAAACATGGACTTTCTTGCTGCTTGTATGCACTACTTCCTAGTTTAAGCAGACATAGTTGTACACTACATTGTCACTGAAATGTTTAGGGGTTAGTATTCCTCATAGAATATATTTTTGCAAAGTATGTCTTGTAAATATTTGAATTTGTCAGTTAGGACATGGAAAACAAATGTTTCCATTGAAACGTTTTTTTGCCAAAGACAGCACTGCTGGTGTTCACAAATCATCTAGCTGCTGTGTTTAGAGCAACAAAGTGTTAGCTAGCATTATTCTACAGATGTCCTAGAGTTTTTTGGCTCAGCATGTTTAATGACCTTGTGTCTTTTCTATTGAAACTGACACTATGAAAGCTAGTCATAAAGTGCATGTTTGCATTTACTGCAAGGTGATGCATTCTGTTTCATATGTATTATCTTTTTTCTTTCTTTCTTTTTTATCATGTTTTGTGGAAAATTTGGTGTTTAGTGCGTTGCTGCAGGGGCCTCAGGATGTTTGATTTAGCACAACGGAGGTTTCCGTCAGACAGGTCAGGTGACATCAATATGACTCTGCTTCTACTGATGTTTCAGACAACCCACATACGTAATGCAGCAGTGATTTATGATCAGCTACAAACACTCAGTCGAAGTATTCGAAGGGTACATGTAAATAGTTGCTTTCAGTAAGAGCTAGGTCTAGGGCCTTCATTAGACGCTGATGGCAGCTTAATTGGGCTGTAATGGCCACTTTGGTTCCCACCACTTCATTACAACCATATGATCCTCACAGCTTTATTGGCAACACTTGGGCCCTGGGGCAAGGACAGAGAGTGTAAGCAGGTTTTATGACCTCTTCTCTGTAAAGATGAGACCTCCCGGCCCTTCTGTCAACTCCTTCTGCGCTCAGCAAAAATTCCTTACATTTCCTGGGAGGATAGGTTAGAAATGGGTGTTAGGTCACAGAAATAATGAATAATGAAGCTTGTTCTTCTTTTTTATGAAGCATTAGGGTTGTCAGGTTTTGCAAAAAAAAAAAAAATGTAGCAAATTTGACTGTTTTTACAGCAGCAAAGAAACAGGTTCTGTCAGGACCACACCAGCAAATGAGGATAATCAGCACTTGTTTCTCATGAGTCACCAGTGTCATAATTTGCAGAATAAGTAGGGCTTAAACTTCCACTGATCTGTGCAAGAATGTGTATGACAGATTTGTCTTAGCCCGCCAAAACGCGTGTTTGTTGGTGTGGTTCCCAGGACAACGGCCTGATGGGACCTCTGCCAGTGTGGCCTGGTGTTTTTGGTATCACACTGGTGGCTGGCTGCTGCACGTTTCCAATGAGTTCCTCTACTCTTTATGGAAAGAGGAAGAGTGGGGAGAAATCGAAAGATAACTTAATCTTTGCAAGTCAAGTTCTGCAATATTGGAATACCTTTTTTTCTTTTTTAAACAATAACGGCTTGTCCTTCATTAGTCAACTTCAAAAGTTTTTAAACTACTCAGGAGAATCTGTTGTGGGTAGTATTGTAGCTGTACTCCTCCCATGCTTAGAATTGAATTGTGATTGTGGTTTTCAGGGGTGTGGTTTGTCTTCCTCACTTGTCTTCACTTCCTCTAAACTTCAGCTGCAGATAACATTTGTGAAGGTAGGTGCTACCTTCACAATGCTCATTTTCTGACTGCAGGCCCTGAATATAGTCATCGCCACTTTAATGTTGGCCTGCAGGACGACAGCCACACCCTTCTAGCTAATCACTCAAGGATTTGAGATGCATGCACAAAACTAAACACCATTATTATTTATCTGCCAAATGGTAGGAGGGAACACCTACTTTAAGCCACGGTTTGCAGAGCTTAGTTCAGTGGCTTATTCTGAGGGACAATAAAACAGCCTCTTTGGTTATGAAACTACCCTCTATCACTTGCTCCCTGTCCTCTGGTTAAATCCCGTGCCCCTTCTTTGAGTGCGTTGTTAATAATGAACTGCACAGAGCTCAGTTTAAAACGGGTCCGGAAGTGGCTGAAAGTCGTTTTAGGTTTCCTGTTGAGGTTAACACTGTAGAATGCCACGGTAAATGCTGCATTTCTCTTTCGGTACCGTAGCTGGGGCTGGAATTTGTTTTGATTGCAGGTGTTTTGGAGTAGGTTTTGCTCATAAATGAGGTTTCCTACAAGCATGTTGTGGTTTTGATAGTGAGTAATGCTGTGCAGTGCAGACCAGTTACATGAGGTTGAAAATACGAGGCTGTGATATCCAAGGTGCACTCTGGGCATAAGTCCAAAACGCATTCCATTCATATCTGAAGTGAGGGTTACTTACTGTGGTGAAACTGCAAATTCAGAGAACAAGAAAATAACTGTTAAGTGTTGGAAGTCCACCTGACATATCCAATTTGTTTGTTATTGCACAGACAAAGTGCTCATACAGCCATTAACTAATTTAGGTCACAAAGAAAACCGTTTCGCTGGCTGGCATCCTATCTGTTCAGTTATTTTTTTTAAACCTCAGAGCTGCTATTTATTTTCCGTTACACATAAATGTGTCCAGAGAGTACTCTTGAAAAGTGATAAAATGTTTTGTGTGCACCAGTTGAACTGTGCTTTTTGAACAGCACCACAAATAGAGTAAAGAGTGTTAACCATCGTTGCTTTCAGGTGTCAGAAGTGCTACAGACTGGGAGGAGGAGGGGCAGGCATAAATGGTGCTGCAGCTTGAGGCCTCTCGAGCATCTTGCTTGCAAGGAACAGAAATTTAAGTCTGTTTCTGAAGTAAAATGAAATCAGTTTGATTTTTTTTTTGATCACTTGCTTATTTAATGCATTGGCCTAAGGCCTATTCATACAGTACACAGAACACTGACCTTTGTCATGTGGCATCTGCTATGCTGATGCCACATGACAAACCTCCACAGTGTTAAAGGATGAGCCACTAAGCAGTGATTCTAACACTGCAGTGTGTACTACTATAGACAGCAGTCATTCACCCAGGAGCAGTATCCACCAACCGCATGGAGTCACCCACAGCCTTCACACACTCGCTGACAGGGTGATGAAGATCCATGCAAAGTGAACTCAGAGACTTTCCTCAGGAGCTCGCCGCCACACTGTCACACTCCATGACTGACTACATCTGTGTATGTGACAAGATCGCTGTAATTACAGCAGAGTCAGTGTTTCGCGTGACAGTGCATCTGGATTAAACAACAGTTTGGGTTTGGAAGGAAGTCTCAGATCTGTGGCGAGCCGGGCGATGCGACACACACGCTCACTCACACACACAGTCCGGATTCAGACTGTTATGAGGTAATGACTCGGGGAAACTTTACACAAAAGCACACAGCTACACTGCTTCCCTGCTCTAAAATTCTTCCTTCTGTCCTGGACCACCACACATCTTTAAAATGACAAATTCATCACTGCACTAGTATGCCGTGGAGACAGCAGTCACAGGAAGTGAAGTCACAGGAACTTTGGTATTTCAACCAAGGGATCAATAAACTACTACTACATTTTTTTGCTGACTTCAGTAAATGACCATGACTGTGTCACATACACTGCACATATGTATATATGTATATATACTTGCACATGCATATTATGCATATTATGCATATTATTTTAAAACCTAATATTGCCTACAAAGACAATCAAATGACCTTTGATTAACAAATGTCATTACAGGCATAGCGTTGACATTAGTGCACTAACAGGGATGAGAGGAGAGTAAAGTGTGTGCAGTATTCTCACAGTGCTCCCCTCTCAACTGCAGCACAGCTGTCTTAACAGCACCCCCGCCCTCCCCCTGTTCCCCTGCAGGGGTGTGTTTGGGGGGGGGAGCATTGTGTTTCTATAAGCTAGTTGTCCCATTGGGCTTTGCTTCCCTGGCACGGTACCACCTCTTGCTCTCAGATCCAATGAACAATGAGTGCTGCAGATTATTAGCATTGTTGTGTCCCATCTTTCCAGATGAGGATAAAGAGATAGCTGAGAGAAAACAAATACAGTGCTTGGTAAGCGAGGTCTGGCCTGCTCCCTCTTGGTGCACCGTAAAGTTCAGTCGGGCTCAGATTGCTATGTAAAATGGAGAAGGGGGGGAGGGGGGGGTCTATGTCTGTGGATACACCTTTGCGGAATCAGAGGAGTCACTCTTTCATGCAGGCCTTCTTCTATTTTTAATTAGCCCAGTTTGATGTCTATTCTTGAGCCACTCCCTTAAA